CCCCGCCGAGGCTCTGCCTGCCCCTCGCTCAGAGCGGCGCCCACGTCCCCGCTGTGGGGAGCCATGCTCCAGATGTTGCATCCAGCTGTTCAGTGGTGCTGCGAGGACGGCGAGGAGGGGGGGGGTGTCCCAATCCGACTGCTCCCAACTGTACTGGGACTTTGGCAGGAAGGCACTGTGGGTTTTTCCATGCCCGTGACGTGCCGCTCTGCTCTCTCTTGCAGGGGACATGGTGTTCAAGCACCGGGAGCCGCTGGTCCAGGCTTTCCTGCGGGGCGCGCGGGACCCCGACAGCACCCTGCGGGCCAGCAGCCTCTCCAACCTCGGCGAGCTCTGCCAGCGCCTCGGCTTTCAGCTGGGCTCCATCATCCAAGAGGTACCAGCTCCATCCCGGCACTGCCATCCCCTTCCCCTGGTCCCTGCCTGGGGACCGTTGCTTGTTAAGAGGGCAGTTCGTTAGCGGTTGGCAGGGCTGCTGAGTGCTCGCTGCTGGGGACACGACAGCCTGGGGGGTTCCATGAAGGACGTGAGTGATGTTTGCTGATACTGGAGAGTGTAAAAGTCGTTGGACCTGAAGCAAACACTCCTAGCCCTGATTTTTAGGGCTAAAAGCTTTGTAATCGGTTAAAGATGGCCCTTGTGCAGGGAAGCGATAGCCCAAGGAAATGCGGCGGTGCCTGCTCCACCCATGGAAATCACACTGCAGGAGACCTGGGGGCACAGTTAGTACCTGCCAGAGACATCTCCTCCCACTTAATGAGACCTCGTTACCCTTCCCGTTATCACGATGCAGCTGATGTGCAGCTGATGGCTGGCAGGGGTGCCCAGCCCTTGCCCGGCTGCAGCTCCAGGCGAGATGCAGCTGCCGGAGCTGTGGTCCCAGTGGGGTGATCCCAGCTCTCAGGGGTCTTCCCCTTGGAGGTTTGGAGGGGGAACTTGCTGGGAGCTGCCGGAATCACGGGCCAGCAGCCCTCGAGCTGGTGGGTCTGTGCCCCTGTGGGAGCCGGAGCTTCGGCCCCTGGTGCCTCCTGGAGCAGGAGGGGGGTCAGGAGACATCAGGGATGCAGCGCTCGGGCTTCTTCCCCAGTCCCCGCTCGCAGCCGCTCGGCATCGGTACCGACAGCGTTTGATGAGATGCCAATGCACCACACGCAGCTATTTCGGGAACACGCTAGCTCTGCTAATTCTCCCGGCTGTCACTGCCAGGGGTTTAATTAGGTTCCTTCAACATTCACTGCTTTTTATAAAGCTTTCCAAGGCATCTGCGTGCCACTCGGAGAGGGAGGGCTGCTCCGTGCCCCACAAAAAAACAATTGCCCCCGGTTGGGTGCCGGCAGGGGAATGTGCGGCTGCCCCAGGCTGGGCGCAGCGGTCCCATCCTCATCCTCCAGCCCCAGGCCACCGAGGGACATCCCCACCACCCCAGGGGAGTCCCAAAGGTGGGGCCATGGCCAACTGCTCTACCGGTTCCCCTCCCATCCCCCTTGCCCCTGCTGATGGCCCCCCTGCCCTGTCCCCGCAGGTCACCTCCTGCTTGACAGCCATAGCCAAGACGGATCCCGAGGCAGAGGTGCGAAGAGCCGCTGTGCATGTGGTGGTGGTGCTGCTGCGGGGGCTCAGCGAGAAGGCCACCGAGGTGAGTCACCTCCCCGCTTGTCCCCTGGGCAGGGGCAGCCTCCGCCCGG